AAATGATCCTGAAACTCGGTTGGGGTTGAGTATCCCCGGGACTGCAAATGATCCTGAAACTCGGTTGGGGTTGAGTATCCCCGGGACGGTAAATGATCCTGAAACTCGATTGGGGTTGAGTATCCCCGGGATGCGAAATGCTCCCAAAACTCGGTAGGATATTATGAATGTAGAATGTAGCTGGTGAGCTAGGCATTCGGGAAAAGGGTGAGAAAGGTAAGGTAAGAACTTTATCTCTAAAAGACTCTTTGAGTGAAATGACCTACGGGTCGAGTATTTTACAAATATATATATATATATATATATATATATATATATATATATATGTGTGTGTGTGTGTGTGTGTGTGTGTGTGTGTGTATATGTATATATATACAGTATGTATCATCGGATGAATGAGTCACATATATATATATGTATCACCCTATTTTTGGGTCTCGTGTCTGAAACATTAGTTATTCTTCATATAGCCTGCTTGTTACTAGTACTTCTATGGAGTACTGACCCCTCCGGGGGCTCTCACATTTTTCAGGTTGAGGCTAGAGTCCTACTACCTGCACCTTTGCCTAGGATGATCCTTCAAGGAGGAAGACGTGGTTCGTGCTTCCATTCGTATTTTTGAAATCTATAAACTGCTCATGGATTTTTGAACAATGTTTTCATTAAAACAGTTGGGGGCCTGCGTGCCCGTGTTTGCCACATGTGGCTAAGTATCAAACATATTATTATTTCCGCATTTGTTTTATTATGATATTGATGTTGATTGTATGTGTTTACTAATCGGTTTGGCAATAGAAGCAATCAGACGTCTTGTACAATTCAATAGGGATGAACTGTTGTTGTTCCTATCGGGTTGTACGGCGGTTGTTTACGTGGCTCGGATGCGGTTCGGGGCGTGACATATTAGTCTAGCAAGTACACCCTCCCCTTCTATAAATAGAAAAGCATGGCTTCCTAGTAGGGGATCTGCTTTTTCTCTCCCACTGGAGCTTTCTTCCCTTCCCCCTTTACTGCTTCTCCTTTATCAGTCTAGTTTAGGAAGCTTATTCAAGCTCCATTAGTTCAGGAAGCTTATTCAAGCTCCATGGATGGAGTTCCAAGTAATTTGTACTATGTATATGGTGAGGAGGGGATTAATGAGAAAGAGTGGGCTTGGACGTTAGCCTAAAAAGTTTCATGGTTTTCTCCTTTTCCGGGTTTCCACGTAAAAATTGAGTGTTATACCAAATTATATCTATATCTATAGTTTATGTTGGACTTAAACTCAACTTTGGCGCCGTCCGTGAGAACAGAATGAAAAGATTCTGTTTGTGTTCGATGATGGCAATTTAAGGACCATGGCAATGACCGTGGCAGCGTAAGTTCATATCACAGCAAGGACCAGCTTATGCAGCATGATCGGCCTCCCAGCGCCATCGTGTCTAGTTCGTATTCGACGATGGCAATGGTCATGGCAACGTAAGTCCATATCACAGCAAGGACCATCTTATGCTTTACGATCGGCCCCACAACACCATCGTGTCTAGTTCGTATTCGACGATGGCAATGTCACTACAATAAAATTGATTTGTAGAGCCATCACAAAATTGTCCCTAAAAATAGGAAAATTGCCTCTAATTCTTTTCTGAGACAATTTATTGATTGCCTTGAAATACTCCGTCGCTAAATGATGGTTGCCTCTAATGGGGGTTTTGGAGGCAACAAGTTTGCTTCTAAAAAGGCACACATTTAGAAGCAACCAAAAGGATTTGTCTCAAAATGTTATTAGAGACATTTATGTTACATTGTCTCAAAATTTTATTAGAGGCAACAAGTTTGCATGATTCAAGACATTATTAGAGGCAAATATGTTGATACTTGATACTAATACTCCGTAATATTTAGAGGCATCCATATGTGTGATGCTAAAATGATGTTTAGAGGGAATAACTTCATCTTAACCTTGATTTACCATACACACATATTGTAGTAAAATATATTCCGTATTTAGATGAAGCTGCCACTTTATCAATCATCAAAGATACTTTGTTTAAGTACAAAAGTACATCAATCGTTCACAATAACAAAAAGCTTCATGCATGTGAATGCTAGTTTACATAAAATAGAATGTCAAAATGAAGCTTTATAACTCGATAATGCCATAAACAACTTATTGAAACTTCTAACAATTTCATAAATCCTACTAATCCACAAACTATGACAACATTCAAAATGAAAAGGTATGAACTATAAACTCATGGAAGAAACATCTCTTTCATCAGGTTATTGATCTTGTGGACCTTGCATGTTGTTAAGTTGTTGATTAGAACTACAAGCTCATAGAAAAAAATGTTACTATTAATAAATCTCTTCAAAACTCATTGTTATAGGACAATTCCATCTTCGAAAAGGGGCTTTGTTTCATTCGTTAATCATAGTATGTGAGAATGAAGTATGCACTTACCATAGGATAACAACGACAACAAGAGTGAAAGGAGGCAAAAAAAATTGCTGAATAAGATAAATGTCCAAATTAGAATAATGAAAACCTTGGGATAAGTAATTGATTGGTTGTTTAACATAATCAATAGTTTTTTATAAAGTAGTAGTAATTTTAAATTCTTGTATTTTGGGTGATTTTTCTAAAATGTTTAAAAATTGGGAATAAAAGAAGAGGTCTTTGTTTCTACTTCTTTAATAGCAACTCGTCTGGTGCAGCTGACTAGTTGCATTTTCTTCCAAAAATCAAATAAAATAGTTTTTGATGTTGAATCTATTCCAATTAATTATATAGTTGTTTACTAGTCTCGAGGTTGTTATTTATCTGAAGAAAGTTAATTTTCACGAAGCAGAAGTAATTTTTAATTAATTTCGTTAATTAGTTGTTATTATTGCATAATTTAAAGTAATTAGTCAAAAATAGCAAAAAATAATAGTTGCGGTCCTAAATCATTTTAATCTACTTTGATATAACTCCCAGTAGTCAATAGAAAATTTAGAACGAATTTAGCCTATTTTTAATTCCCTTTTGTATTTTCTAGTTAATATTGGAAAAATTACTAATTAGCTGTTAAAATTGGATATTAGGGTTAGAAATTCGTGAAAAATTTCAGAAGGTCATATTTTAGTTCCAGAAAGTTTATGTTGGCCGAATTTGATTTTTGTTTAATTTTTGCTATATAAATGTTTAATTCCTTGTTAATGTTTAATTTATTTACTATATTGTTGAATGCAAAAATAATCTTGAGTAGCTAAAATTGTTTTGGGAATGAATTGTCTAAAGGAATATGGATTGACTTGTTAGCCGAAAATTAGGGGGTAAAATTAATGATTTGGACTAGGTGTTTAAATTGATGAAATAGTAATTAATAATTGTTAGCCATTTTCATTAATTAAATTTTTGGAAAATTATTTCTAACTTCCTTATGAGATTAGAAAATAATTTGAGCCAATCATATTCAAGCACATTAATAAGGCCTAGAAATAGGATATTTTAATGAAGGGAATTTATATCTTGTCTATGAGAAATAAAATTCAAATTGCTTAAATATCGAGTTTAATTAGTTAATGAATTTGGCTATTTTTATTAATTAAAATATTGGAGAATTATTTCTATCTTGTATATGAGATTAGAATTTAGTTCAAGCCAACCATTTTTGAGCACATTAATGAAACCTAGAAATAGGATGAATTAATGAAAGTAGTTTCTATTCTTGTCTATGAGGAAAGAAATTATTAGTCCGATTTTAGTTTTTTTTACCCCTAATTACTAGGTCCAAGAATATATCCATTTCTGAGTACTCAATTCATTGCCCTTATTTACTTCAATCTTTAGAACATTCGATCTTTAATCATTAATCTTTTAAATTGAACTTTGTTTCTAGTTGCAATTTTGCAAATTGGCATATTTTAGAACACAATCACCTTTCTATATATTGAAAAAGCTTCCAACGATTAGCGATAACCTGTGACTAACATTAAATTAAGAAAAGTCTTCCGTCATTCCTTAGAGACACGATACTCGGGGAAAAACCGAAAGGTTAGACTCCGTTTTACTACAACGCCGCGTAAGCGGTTTATCACTTGACCCCCCCCCCCCCTATGAAAGATCTTTTTCTCACTTTACTTTTTGTTATGTTTTCTTTTTATTTTCATTTTTCCACTTTTATATTTTCACTTTTAAAATAAGATCTTTAATAAGAAGAGAATGATTAAGAAGAAAAACATGAAAAGGGAAATGAAAAAAAATACGGAAAGAAAAAGAAAACGATAAAAAAGAGCTATTTTGAAGAGAAATTTTACAAAAAAAATCTCTCCTAGTAGAGTGAGAAATAGAATAATAAAAATGGAAAAGAAATAAGAACAAAATGATAGGAAAAGTAATAAAAAAAATGTCTAGGGATGAAAGTAATGAAAGAAAAGCTTTAGGGAGAAAAAAGAAAAAAATGAAACATGAGACCGTTTTGAACAGATTTATGAAAGATGTGATTATTTATATATGGTTTTCAAAGAAAGAGTAAAAAATTTGGTATATTAAGTCATCAACATGACAGAGTTGAACGGAAGAAGATGGATACAAAGATGAGATTATTATGAAATTACGTAATGGTGGGATTATTATGAGAAGACCGCTGAAATGTTTGATGTTTCTTGTCAATTTTTCCTATTTCAAAGTGTTTAATAACAAAGTGAAAATAGGCATACAAAACGAATTCTTACTTTTTCAAGACCAGTTTTCAAGCACTTTAATTTTACTATAAATCACATGATTTAAAAATGCTTTTTCATAAGTAGCATATGCAAAATGCTTATTTCAAATATATAATATTAAAAGTAAATCACTTCTGAAAAGTATTAGTAAAAGCAAGCTGATGGATCGTCGAACCAAGGGTGGCCGGAATCCACTGAGAATAAGAGAGAAAATGGAGAGAGCGAACTAGCTTGCAAGTCTCACAGTATGATTGATCAGAACTCAAGCATCCAAAATTCGATCTCTTTCCACAAGTTGGAAGGTGATATTTATACTAAGGAGAAAAGGAAATACTTGATGCCCAAGTAAAAAGATATTAGTCTAATAGGAGAGGGGCACGTGTAAAGCTACTCTAACAAACTACCAGACTAAATGGACCGGGAGCAGCCACGTGGAAAGTTGATTGGAGAGAGAGAGAGCTTCTGGTAGCTGGCTGATTGATCATTCCTCTAACAAAAATCCTGCCAAAAGTTTCGTGTGGCCGTATGCAGATAATCCGGTATATTCCGCCAACGCGGAGAGTGACGTGGTGATGTTTCCTCACGAATTAAGCCCTTGCGGATTTCGCCTAAGTACAGGGTGCTTTTCTCCCGACCTCGAGGATTACTGAGGTCGGTATCTGGGGGCTCGGGCCTATGTTGAGAGGTCTCGTTTTGCTATCTTCCGTTCTTGCTTTGGAGGTGGTTTAACCGCCTGGTGCTCTGCTTGGCGTTGACCTGGAGTAAGACTCCTGAGGTCAGACCTGGTGCCGACCTCGGATGTCTCGAGGTCGGGCTCATGAATTGTCGAGTTTGGTTGGCTCCTGAGCTCGATGTTTCCCGACCTCGGGGTCGGGGTCAGGGTCGGGGTCGAGGGGGGGGGGGGTCGGTGGACTCCGTCATCTGCTGAGTTTACTTGATTCATGAACTTGATGTTTCCCGACCTCGACGGTCGGGGTCGGGGTCGGATTTAGATGTGGACTTAGTATTTTCTTGCCCCCGATGAATCCGTAAGGCTCTCTACCGGCGGTCGTGGTACCCCTGGGGTATACGGGAATATACTCCATCATGAGTCCCCCACTCCCCGAGGCGAAAGTGAAGCTTTAGGTGAGAGAGAGTAAATCTTCAATTTCCTGGGCGCGCTCGCCCGACAGGGGTGCTGCTCTTCCATGGTCATGACAAAGGGGTACCTCATTAAAAACTCCGCTGAGGAAAAACCCTGTGGGAAAAATTCCTAACGGAGGAAAAAGAGTATACTCCGCTTTGCCATGAAGTCCGGAGAGGAAAGCGACGCCCCGCTGCAGAGAAGTATGAGCCCGGGCTTCGTGTATTCTGCGTTCCAAACCTGCCTCATGGGTTAGTCGCTACGTCCGCGGCCCCGGGCGTGGGTTGATAAAAAAATTTGTGTGCGGAAAATTCGTAATGAATTTTAATCTATGTGCGAAGTTTGAGGATATACATGTTCGATGCCGAGCCCGAAGTGACTACGTTGCTCTGAGCTTGTTTCTGTAGTCTTGTTTTTGCTGCTTTGTGATTTGTTTTCCGAGTCCCCCCACTTACCAATCCCCCACTCTTGTGGGCTTAGAATATTTTCTAAGTGTGGAAGAGTATTAGTTTTAGGGGGACGAGGCAGTTGCATTTATCGCTTGGTGGACTTCAGGAGAATTTGTGGCTTGTAGTAACGCTGATGTGTACAAATAGGAATCTTTACATATTCCTTTTGCAACATTTTGAATTAATAGTCGCTTCTCAGCATTTAATGCGAGGGATGGCGTTTGGAGTGATTGTATGGCGCCATCATTGCGCCTTTTTGCATGCCTTTCTGAAAAAACCTTTGAGTTTTTTGGGCGGTTGGAGATTATTGCGCCATGTGTAAGTCTCCCGTTTAATTTTGAAGGGAAGTATAAAAGGCGAAAGCATTCGTCTTTCTCCTTTGCGCTTTCTTTTGTATTCGAGTTTTTAGAGTTTTCAAGCATTTCAAGGGCTCATCTTCTCCGGTCATTGCTTTGAGAAGTTTTAGTTTCCTCCGTCGACTTCCCCAACCAAGTTAGTCTCCGGCTCTATTTGCTCGTTCTTTGCCTGTCGTAATTTTGTCGGAAGAAACCCAGAATAAAGGGTTTTCCGTCAATTTTCGCTCTGTGAACAATGGGGGGTCTACAGTCCCCCATTCTTGGTGAGGTTGGCACCTCTGGACTCAGAATTGCATTATGATGCTTGTTCGAGTGTTTAATTTCTGTTTGGAGGTCAAATTTTCAGTCCTTAACCCCCAACCCCAGATTTTGACTGTCAGCATGTATGTGTGTGTTTTCCTGCAGATTTTGAGAAAATGTCTTCCCAAGGTAATGCTGGAGATAGGGCCGTCCCTCCACGCGAGGTTGGGGACACCGCTGTTGTGCTTGACGTGCCTCCCATCCGCTTTATTAGGAAGCGGAGAAGCAGCAAGAAGAAGTCTGGGAATGCGGTGGGCACCCTTACGGTGAACGGTCCTCTCATGGATGTGTGTGCTCTCTCTGACGGCGAGTGGGTCGAAGCCAGACGCATGGCTGGTCCGACTGTTGATATCATGAGGCCTGAGGCGGGGAGCCTGGCGTCCTCCTGCCCCTCTGGCTTCTTTGCGGTTCATCTGGACGTGATGGATCACGGGTTTCGCTTTCCACTGCACCCCTTCTTTGTGGAGTATCTCAACTAGGTTGGGCTACTCCCTTGCCAGGTGACCCCCAATGGGTTCTACCTGATGGATGCCTTCCTCCTGCGCTGCAAGAATCTGGTTTTGGAGGCTACCGTTGGTCTTTTTAGGCACTTGTTTCAAATTGGGCTTAACAGCTCTCTGGAGAATCAGGGCTACGCCCTTATTTCCCAATGATCCGGCCGGAGTGGGTTCTACCACACCCCGTCGTCTCACCATGGGTAGAAACACATGTTTGTGTTTGTCTTCACTGACAGGAAAGGCGGGTCTCCTTTCACTGCCCCAGGATCCCTGTCATTCAATATGCACGATGCCGGTGCACTGGGTGAATTCACTGATGACGTGGGCGCCTATGTTGGGTATGGCGACCTGGACATCACAACCTTCCTGTCCGAGGAGAAGCTGAAAGATTTGGGCTTCGTTTTTATACCGAGGTTCCTGATGAAGACCAAGGGGATGTCGTTGGTGCCAAGCCTCAAGGTGAGGATCAGGTTGGTGTCCAGGAAGAAGCTGACATTGTTGCGGCTATCGCCACGTCCTTGGCGATGGGACGGGGCTTCGATGATGGTCCCACTGGTTCAGACATGTTGGGCCCCCAGTCCTCGGGCGAGGAGAGGGCTTTTGCCCATATGTCTCCTCCAAGGTCCGAGTCTTCCGAGGATGATGAGCCTGCTCTAGAGAGGATGAAACGTCAGAATGAGGTCTCCTCTCCCAGCGTTGCTAACCCAGTGGGGAGGGTAGATCCTGCCAAAGTTGATTCAGCGGCAGATCCTTCCAAACCTGCTGTTACTTCACAAGGTATATTCTCTTTTGACTATGAGTTGGCTTTTTGTATTGTACGCCTTCGTGGTAATTTTACCTTCCTGGTTTTGTTGTTACAGGCAGTGCCAGCCTGTTTGATCTCCTTGACCGTGCTCAGGAGGGTGGGAGGAAAACCCAGCCCTCGGTCGGTGTTAAGTATGCTGACCAATCACCCAGCGGCTCCTCCTCCTCCTCTTCCGAGGGCTTAGAGGATGAGGGTAATGAAGATGCTGCTGATGTCGCCAGCATGGGGGATGCCCAGCCAACTTTTGCCAGGGCGCAAGAAGGAAACATTACTGCGCGCACACAAGCTACGGAGAATGCCAACACCACCTCTCCACCGGACGTGGTCATTGAGGACGCCACAGATGAGGGTGATGATGAAGATGACAAGGAGACTGTTGAACAGCTCTGGAGCTGCCTGGGCTCAGATGCCCCAGGACGCAGTAGTGCGACCCCAGCTGGTGGCCGGAAGAAGCGTTCAGTGGCTAGGGGTAGTGGCCCTCCCCATGATTCCGCCAGTGGGCGGAAGATACATAGGTTCCAGTTCTCTGTCCGGGATGATCAGGGTTTTATTTCTGAGAATGTTGGGGCTGTAGATCTGCTGGAAAAGCTCTGTCTCCCTTGTGATGTTGATGAATGAGATGGACACCCGCAGTGTGGCGGAGGACTTGGCTTCTAGTACTTTGAAGGTAAGTTTTCCTCCTTTGATGTGTTCATATGCATACTCCCTTTTTTCTTGTGTGTGTGACCATACTCCTCAATGTTTTTTCAGGATACTGCCCTTGGTTACGAGATGTCCCTTAGGGTTGAGGCTGCAGAGCTCCAGGCAAGGGTGGCTGCCCATAAGCGATCGGAACTCCTTGAAGGCCGACACTTAGCTGAGCAGGCCTTAGAGGTTGCCCGAGGGTAGGTCGATGAGCTTCAAAAGAGGGCTCAAGAGGCCGAGGCCCAGCTTAAGGACTGTCATGTTCAGTTTAGAGCTCTGTGGGAGACTGCTGATGCATCCGTCCGTGCTCTGAGCGAGGTGGAGGCTCATGCCCAGTGTGTCGAAGAGCGGACCCGGGCCGCTGAGGATAAGGCAACTGCCGCCATTGAAAAGGCGAAGATTAGTCTGGCCGAATGGCAGCGGATGATCGATGTATACCAGTTGGCCATGAAAGAAAGGGATCAACTCCGGAGGTCCCTTGGGGAGATTGAGGCGGAGCTGTGCTCTTTCAAGACCCAGTGCTTCACTTTGGAGAGCCAACTCGCGGTAGTCACACGAGAGCACTGTGAATGGGAGGCGAAGCATGATAAAGCCGCTTCTGAGCTGAAAGAGTCCCGCTCCCAAATCGTCAAGCAAAGGCGTGTTATGGAGAAGCTCGAACGGCAAGCTGAAGAGGCAGAAAATTATAGGGCTCGGGTCTCTGAGCTTGAGGTTGATCTTGCTTCCAAGGACGCTGATCTGGAGAAGCTGAGAAAGGAGCGTACTGAGATCCGGCTTGCTTCTGGCCACGATAAAGCTCGGATCATGTCACTGGAATCCGAGGTGGCCGCCACACAGGAGAAGCTTGAGGGCTATATGGCGGGCCACAGTGCTGCTATTGAGAGGGCAAAGGCAGGTGTTGTTTCTGAGTTTCAGACCTCATGTTCCAAGGATCCAGCTCCTTCATTAGCTGTCAACTGACTTCATGGGGTCATGGGCAAACACATCAATAGCTGGTTGACCACGCCCGCGGGGCTGGGGTTCGTGTGGGAACAGTTGTTGCCTACCCTGAATTATGGGAAGTACCAGATGCAGAAGGAGATATACGACAGGCTCCGAGAGAACATGCCAGGCTTCAACTCCAAGGCTTACAAGCTTCCCAGGCCCATGAAGCATCCAGAGACTGCCACCAATCAGCAAGAGCGGGAGAAGAAAAAGAAGAGGAAGAGAAAGGAATGAATTCCCCTCCCCTTAATTTTTCTTGTATATCTGGCTGTTGAGCCGTTGCTGTAAACATTTGAAACACCTTCTGCTACTTTTGTGTATGAGATGTCATTTTTTCTGCAATTTTCGTGCTCGCTGTGCCTTGTATGTTTGTATTATATCATTTTGCACAGGTGCTGTCGAGCTGGGATGGGCCATAGATGGCCTGTCCTTCTTTTTCTCTGGGCTCAACATGTGTTCGCTGAGTTGCCACCATTGTCCCCAACAGAGGTTGCATAGTCAACCTCGTTTGGGTGAGGCATTGTTGGTCCCTTGCTGTTTTAAATGGCAAGGAACTGACCTTTGTCTGATTTACAACCATGGACTTTCAAATGTCCATGTTGTGTTCCGCATGTTGCATGTTCGCGCAATAATGGATTTTCAGGGGTCCATTACTGAAGAGTTTATCAGTAGCAGTGATTGCCAACTGTTGGAGCTTTTATTGGCGCTTTCGGCTGTCATTTTGGAGCTTTAGGTTGTGCCCTTTTGTTGTAGCTGTTGGTCCCGGTTATACTGGATACAGTCTAGAGGGGGGAAGGTGAATAGACTGTATTGGTTTTTAGTTTTTTAAACTAAGTACCAGATTTTACAGAATAGCCTGTTCTGTTGACAGAACAGACTGGCAGCGGATGGGGTTCTGGTAGGGAGTTCTGTTGATTTAGCCTCAGAGAAGCAAAGGCAGTAGGCCTTCTGTTAACTCGTAGGACAAGTTCTGCTGAACACAGATACCAAGTCTGAGGAGTTAGACAGTTCTATCTAAGTGCAAATATTAAAGCAGTAAGTAAATGACACCAGGGATTATAGTGGTTCAAGGAACAACTTGTTCCTCTAGTCCACGTTCCACTAAGCTGTAAAAACTTCCGTTTACAAAGCCTTAGTCCTAGCACTTAAGAAGCTCTCCACGTCTTCTTCAAGCCTAGATGTCTCCTGGGATGCACTGCCTGGCTTCCTTTAAGACTGGTCCTTTCACTGAGTTTCCTGGAAGTATCACCACTTCACTACTCCAGTTACTTGGACGTCCTTCTTGTAGCAAGAAGAGTTTCTGTTAACACAGAGGTTCCTCCAACTAGCTTCGTTACAAAGGATTTGTATGTGATGAGCTTGAAGAGTTGAAGAACACTTGGAACTTTGCTTGAGTTGGAAAAAGTATTTTTCCAACTTCTGCCTTCTCTTGTAGAAGATGATGAAGTATTAATCTCAAGGAGGCTTTTTGCTTTTCAGAGTTTGAATTTCTTGTATGAAGAGTTGTAGCAATGGTTAGCAAAAGTTGCAAAGTTATCCGGTTGTTCTTCGTAGTGTATCTTTTATACTGAGGTTGTCTTCCCGTTGGAGGAGTAGGAGGACAACTGCATTAAATGAGCGATCAGTTGACTTGACTAGTAGAGACCGGTAAAGTTGGCGGGTTACTATTTTGGGATAAAGTATTCCTGACATTGCGGCCAATCATCTGCAATTACTTTACGGAGCATGGGGTGCATTAAATGAGCATTTAATGCGCGTACTGTAGCTTTTCCGTTCAATACTCCTAGCCGTTGAAGGAATCTTTTAGTTGACTTCCCGGTTCTGTGGAATTCTTCCAAATGTCAGACCTTCTGGTGTCTTTAACTGAGAGTTGAACAGAGGAGGTCTGGAGCACTTCTGTTGAGAATATATCCAACAGAGACCCAGAAGGGTTTCTGTCAGAGTAAAGGTTAACAGAGACCCTGAGGTCTTCTGTTCTGGAGCAGAGAACCAAAGGTCCTCTGTTTCAATAATGCCTTATGAGGGTCTTCTGCTCTTAGAGCCCTTCTGCTCAGAAGGTCTTCTGCTCTGAAGGCATTCTGCCAAGTCGATTACACTAAGAACTTTACAAATGAAAATTCTAATACATTAAGTCTAACTAGGGGTACTCTAAAGTCCTAATTAATCTAGCATCATCAAAATCTAAATACAAATATTCCTTACAATTTCCCCCTTTTTGATGATGCCAAAACCCTTTAACTATTTCCAGAGAAGTGCCTTCACCATAAAGAAAGATTAAAGTTTAAAAACTTCCATTAAAATCTTGGTGGGCAACTTGGCATAGGAAAATAGTAAGAGTACAGTACATTCAGATAGCAGAATATAGATGAAATAAGCAAACACAAACAGAAGGCAAAAAGACAGGAATTGAAGAAAAGCACTTCAAAGTAAGAAGGCAGAGATGTGATTTTATTAGATAAGATTTACAGAGTTAAACCTTACACATTCTCCAGATTAGCTGCTTGCAGAGCTTCTTCTTCCAATCTTTGAAGTCTGAGCAGTTCTTCATTGATTTCTACTCTAATCTTGGAAAGGTTGCCAGAGCTTTGATAAGATGCCCAAATGGGAGAAAGCTTACAGTCCAGATAGCTGAGAACACCTTCATGTATTGTCTTGCCTGGGACAATGTTCTTCTTATACCATTCTTCAGCTTCTTCTAAAGATCCCCCATACCTAACTCTCACAACACCATCTTTGTCCAAATAGAGGTGCTGTTGTTGAGTGAGAGTCATTTTGGCCTTCATCTCTTCAAATTGAGCTCTGTCAATTCTCTGAGATCCACCCAATCTCCATTCAGTGAAGTTAAAAACTTTCTTCTTCTTGGTGCCTTTCTTGACTGGAGATGGGGTCTAGGTATACCTGCTGCTCTCTTCTTCTGTAGGGCAGCTTCAAAATAGGGAGCCGGATCCACTGCAGGCTCAGCAGAGGAGGGTGCCCTAGTAGGAGTTCTGTGGGACCTAGGCCTGGTCTGTTGAGGGTCCTCTTCCCCCTTTTTGGCATCATGCAGATCTTCTATCATCAGGCTTATTTTCTGAAACTCTGAGGCCTGGGTGGAGGCTATCTGCTCAAGGGCCTCTGGTAGAGTCTGAGTGACAGAGGTAAGGCCTTCAATGAGACCTTGCTGCTTCTGAATGGCAGAAAAGATGTCCTTGTTATTGGCTTCAAGCAGCACCTTCTTTTGATATCTGTCTCTGTCAATAGATAGGAGAGCTTGAGCTTGTTCTTGGTGAGCTCTGCACATTTCCTCAATAGAGGTCAGTTGCCTCTCTGTTCTGGCATCAGATTTCTTCATAGCCTCAAGATGCTCTGAGATAGAGTTGATTGCCTGACCTTGACTTAGGAGAGTCTGTTGAAAGATAGAGAGGGTGTTGTGGATACCTACCACTTCTGTTGACAGGACATCTGTTCTGGCAGAGGAGGAGGCTATGAAGTTGTTGAGTGTTCCTGTGAGGTTCTCAAAACGATCAGATATGAACTGCATTCCTGAATTCAGATTGTCATTCACATGAGCAAGGTGCCCATAGTGTTTATCATTGATCTCTATCAGCTTGTTCATGCCTTGGAGGATTTGTCCACCAAAGTCTTCTGCAGATTCAACAAATTTGTTGAAGGGAATGTTATTCTGTTGTCCATCAGCTGGAGGCATCTCTAGACCTCTTCCCTTAGGCAGGGGGTGATGTTCTTGGACAGATGAGAGAGATTGGACACGCAGTTCATGCTCCAGTTGAGTCAGAGGAGGGGTCTTCTGTCTCTTTGATGTGGCTTGATATGACTTGCTGACCATGAATCCATCCATATCAGATGAATCTTCATAAGAAGAGTATATAGGTATTGTGTTCCTGACTATCTTCTTCTTCTTTCTGAAGGAGGGATTGGGGGCAGTAGAATGCCTGGAATGGCCTTGGGGAGCAGAGATGGGGGAGATAGTTGTAGGGTCAGAATCTCTGAGAAACCATACAGGTTTAAGCTTCTCTGCAGGTTGTTGTGGAGGAGGTGATTCTGGTGGAGGGGTTTGATGTTCAGATTCCGAGGGTGAAGAGGATTTCTGTTGGGGTGAGGGGTTCTGGTGCTGGGGTGAAGATTGAATAGGTGAGGTATTCTGTTGAGGAGGAGATGGTGGAGGTGAGGGTGAGCGGTTTCCGAAGGGAACAATTGCTCTGCAGGGTGATGCAATTTTCCTTTTGGGTGAGTGAGGAGGGGTGGGGGTTTTCTGTGCAGGGGATTTAGGTTAAGGGTTTTCTGGTGGAGGGGTTTTTGTGCTGGTGGGAGGTGAGGGAATAAGGGGTTCTGTTGGGATAATAACAGAAGGGGTTGGAGAGTTTACCTCAATGATGTTATCCACAAGCAAGGAAGTCCTCCACTCCTTGATATGTTCCATCATAGCTTGTCCTTCTGTCTTGAGTACAGAGGACTCTCCTGGGTTGAAGTTGGGTTGCACAGAGTCAGTTGCCATCTTGGTGAACAACCATTCTTCAAAGGCTTCTATCTCTCCTTCTTCTAGAGGTTTGACTGTCTCCTCTGAGGGTGAGGAGATGAGGACAGCCTTTCCCTTGTAGCTTGCCTTCTTCTTCTCAAGGACAGAGTGAAGAAAGTTGAGGGCAAAGCATTTTGAGACATCATCAGTCCCAACCCAATTCAGGACGGCTTCTTCTTCTACCTCATAATGATCAAAATATTGGATTATTTTGGAGAGGGGTCCCATTCTACACCTTCTCCATTCAAGGACCCGGGTAAACTGTCTGTCTAGCAAGGACAGATACCCATCTTTGACAGGACTAGGGTGTTCTGTTGGAGTTGACACCCTGTTCTGTTCAGGAGATGCAGCAGAGGTGGGGATCTCTGGTTCCCCCTGAGTGTCTGCCACTTCTTCAGACACTGAGACCACATGTTTAGCAACCTTCTTCTTGGGTTTAGTGGTCCTCTTCCTCTTCTGTCCAGCCTTCAAGGTTGGAGGAGCAACATGTTCTGCCTTCTTGGTCTTCTTCTTCTTCTTCTTTTCAGCAGAAGGGGCTACAGAGAGGGGTTTCTGTACCTTCTCTCCTTGTTGTCTCTTAGCCTCAAGCTGAAGCTGTCTCTTCAGTTCTGCCTTTATAGCCTTTTCCCTGTTTGGAGAGGCAGACAGGAAAATGACCTTGGTGTGATCCAAAGCTGTGGCCTTCCTCAAGGTTACCCCTTGTTTGAGGAGCACTTCTGAGATGAGCAGTCCATGCCCTAGCTTCCCAGAATAGAGGCTAGTCTTTGGATTCTTCTTCTTGATCACCTCAATTAGGGACTTTACCATGACTTGTCCCCAATTGATGTTTACCCCCATGATGCACTGCATAGAGGGCCTTGGCATTTGCAGTTGTGACATCATCTGTGGAGGTATACTTGCACCATAAACATTTGTGGAAAATGTTAATGAGCAGCTCAAATTCCTTCTTGAGCAGGTTCTTCTTGATGTTGACCTTCTCTACTTCTTCACCTTTTCTGCAGAACTTCTTCTTGAATTCAGGCAGAGGGATGTCAGTATCCTCCAAATCAAGTAGAGAGGCCCTGCCTTCATCTAGTTGAATATTGAAGATGTTGTTGATGACGTCAGCATCAATCAAAACTTCTTCTCCTTGGACGATGGAGGAGATGTTTTCATCCTTGAAGGATGCGTTGAGATAGAACTCAACGGTGTCAATGTTGTT